TGAGCAAATTCAGATGAAAACACCAAGTGTAGCAGAAGCCTCTGCAGCACTAGACCTTAGTATACACAAATGAAAAAGCAAGATCCTCAAATACAACACGGAGAACACCAACCCAGCCACACTTGATCCAGAAATTCTGGGCGATGTGGAAACTTTCATGTACCTGAACAGCGTTATCGATGAACAGGGAGAATCTGATGCTGATGTGAAGGTACGGATTGTAAATACAAGGGCCGCATTCCTACAATTGAAGGACATATGTAACTCAAAACAACTATCTGCTAACCAATATCAAGGTGAGAATATTCAGTACGAACGTCGAGACAATTTTACTGTACGGAGCTGAAACTTCGAGAACTACTACAACCATTATCAGATTGTTACAAGTCTTTGTAAACAGTCGTCTACATAAGATACTCAATGTCCGTTTACCGGACTGCATCAGCAACAGACTACTGTGGCATTGAACAAACCAGCTTCCAGCTGAAGAGGAAATTAAGACGTTGGAATTGGATAGAAAATACGTTACGGAAATTACTAAACTGCATCATGAGGTAAACGGTAACTTGGATTCCTGAAGGGAAACAGAAAAGTGGAAGACCGAAGAACATCCTATATTGGGGATTGGAAGCAGACATGAAAAAAAGAATAGCAACTGAAAATAACTAGAAATGATTGCCCAGGACAGAGTTGGATGGATAATGTTGGTCGTCAGCCTATGCTCTTGCACGTGAGATAACCCGTATAAGTAATTAGTGTAATTTTCTGAACGGTTATGTATACTAAATATTTAGCTGTAACATTATTTCTAGAAGGTGACAAAACAACCCACGACTAATTACATTTTCTCTCCTAAATGTGAATTCTCTTAAAAAAACTCTTTTAATTAACAGATATTCTAATTATTTGTAATTTATTTACTCCTTTTATTCAATACGTTACATTCTAAATAGATCAATATTATCAGTATGGCGATAGAATATTTTGTTGAATTTCATTGAAATCATGAACCGATCTAAGTTATATCACACTTAACCACTTGGAGATACTGTGAACTAATTAATGATAAGGTCAATACCAAGAAAAATGTAAAATACAGTTAAAAATTGTAATCAACCAACAGTATAAATTTAAAAGTAAATAAACTATGACATTTTCATAGTCCCTAAATTATACCAAAAGCAAATATACAAGTTGAGTAATATAAAATTATCAGAAGGGGTTTTGTGGAGATTTTAGAAATTTCACTGACCGGCTCAGTGGTCTAGTTGGTCGTGGGTTCGAATTTCGCGGGGTGTGGGATCGTGGATGCGCGCTACCAAGTCACATCTTAAGACGAAACGGCCGTTCAATGCTTCCAGGTTTTCCATGGTGGCCCAGCTTCAATTGACTCATGATTTCAACCAGTGTAATATAAAATTATTATAATGTTTACTCTAGTATACATTCATATAACTACTATAAAGATATAATATCAAAAGTGCCTATACATAGCATTATTAATCTTTTTTGTATTTTTCTTTCTTTTTTAATATAATTTCTATTTATTCATATAATCCGGATAACTATCTACCTACTATCAACCTTTTATATTTGGTCTATTCAACTGTAGTCTAGACAAAATGAAAATATATTTATCAATAGTTAAGACTCATGTAAATTTGATGATTTTATATTGTGTAACAGGAAATGTAAGAAAATTATACTCATTACTTCTTTCATAATCTCGTATCCATAGATTTAGAAACAATTGGATTGTTTTTTTTAAAAACAAACGAAAAGGATTCTCTGAATTACAAGTGTTTTAATGATAAAAATCACTTCTAATAATCACCATGTAAATTCAATGTATTCAATATCTATTTATATAATGTTGAAAGTCCTATTCATGAAAAAAATTAAATAAAAAAATACTAATAACTCAACTTATAGATATTGAACATTTTTATGCAAATTCTGCAGTCTTCATAAATTCAGTTATATTGTAGAGAAAATAAGTATTAAAATAATGATATTATGGTATGTGCTACTGATCTCAACAGATTTAAGTAGTATGTATCATCAATAGAAAATGATATGCCTAAAGTTAGAAGGTTGAGAAGATTAAAGCGAAGAGAACGAGAATAAAGCGTGATTAGTGTAGAAATGAAAGATCAATCAAGTCTGAGACGATTGATTGACATTTCACAAATGAAGTATTTATCGTATGATTCTCGGATTTTACTAAGACATTCTGTAATTTTGTATTCATATACGTTTAGTTGTTCCACACTTGTATTCTCGTTCACTATTATACTTGATGAACTCATATATCATTTAGATTATGTTTTGTTGCTCTAATGAAATTACACAATGTTTTAATGTCATTAATATTATCTTGAAAATCAGAAAATCTAGTTAAAACGAATTGTATATGTTTTGTGTTTTTAACATTGAATCATATTGATTATGATCTAATTAATCTTAATATGATGTTCTATGATTCAAATGAGTGAAAGATTAACGGACAAAATATTTAAACCAAATGTATAACAATGAAATACTTAAATATGGACAGATTATGTAAGCAGTAACAAATGGTATATTAAGTTAAGTATGTGTTTACAATAAAGTAAATAGTTTTGTGAAAAATGTATCTTTAGATGACATGCTACTAACTTAACTCTCTTTCTAAGTATTTATAACGAAAATATTTAACAAGCAGTAAACGTTATCCACTGAAATCGTGAGCTAATCAATTTTAGACCACAAGTGAAAATCTGGAAGCATTAGACGATCGTTCCGTTTTATTATGGAACACCTCAACTGTGCGCATCCATGGTCACGTATGCAAGATTCGAACCCAAGACCTTCGGTCTTGTGCGAACACTTAATATCTAGATCACTGAGCCAGGATATGATAGTGTTAATGTCTGACTTCAGTCAATCCATAATGTTGCGCGACCATCTTCCATTGTCTTTTGTGGGTAACTGCCCCAGATTCGACAATGTTGAACTTCACTGGTCACGAATTCTCACTAGAACTCCGAAAATTCCTTATCAAAACTATTCACTGGTGAGTACATGATAATTTTTATTTTAGGATTGCTAATTTTTTTACTTTTGCCGGAATCATGAACCGATCATTGTTAAACCGAAGGTGCTAGGTTCAAATCCCGCGTGCGGGGTCGTGGATGCGTGCTACTGAGGTGTTCCACACTAAGGAAAAAGACCGTCCAGTGCTTTGGTGGTCTAACATTAATCGGTTCATGATTTCGATGAAATTCAATAATATCCTTAACCTCAAACTGAAAATTTATGTAATTATATAAATGGGCACGTATATAATGGTCATACTATCATTTCTTGCAATAAAAATTAATAATTAAGAAAATGAAAGTCATACATTTAAGCCGTCAACTAAAAAATGTTTGGTATGTTCAGGAGAATAATTCAATAAATTCTTATACACGTTATTTTAGCATAATACTCCAACAAATATACTTTGTGAAATTTGGAAAACATGGGAGGATCTGCTGATATGTGAGAAAGTACGTTTGGAATCATACCAGTATAATTCAAAAGTATTTCACTGTTTTAGCGATTGAAATTTCATTTATACTCTTACTGACTTTATTAAAACAATCATTCAACAAAAAGAAACACTAAAATAGCTGTTAAGTCCTAGTACAGGTCTGAATAGCTATCCAGTTTCAATATATTGTCTAGGAATTAACCTTTTATTTACTGTGAAGTGTAAGTATAAAAACGTCAAGATTGATTTTTGATTGTTTAGAAGTATAAAAATTTGTTTTTCTTTCTACCCATAACTATTCTCATTTATAGGTGAGAGTTGAATTAAAATTATCCAAAACTGTTAGACAATATTGATTGTAAACTCCTGAAAATGTCATTTTTTTTCTCTTTGAACTCATTTCTTTAATTTACTTATATCATCAACTTCATCTTAGAATACCTCAAAAAAAAAATCCAAGACATTAACAGATTATTTTCAGTTTTTCTTATCACCATGTGAATCTGACAAATTGGGATTAATTTCCTCTGATTGTTATTTATTATAACCGTAAATTACAATATTTAAGCAATGATCCTATTTCTTTGCATATTGTATTAAATATTCATACCAATTATTATTATTTTACCACATTGTTGAAATTGTATCACCATGAATAAGTTCATTAATCAATAACAGAAGTTAATTTTTCCACATTGTTAATACAATTTTAACATTAAGAATTGAAAATAATTTTACTCGTGATCTGGTGTGGTTACGTGATCGAATGCCTTCAGTTAGGTGAGTCCATTAAAACTAATATGGTCAGTATCAAATATTGAAGACTTACAGAGCTATTGATTTTGGGGATTTATTTACCGCTACCTATTGTTTCCATTTTAAAATACTTCATACAAATGATATAATGTTTATTTTCTTTTAAACAACTCTTATTCATTAATTATATGGTAATTAGCTTTATTTATCTTAAAATACCAAAGAAGACTAAATAGATCATCTTTTGAAACATTTCTTAAATGAAAAGATCTGTACAATCACTGTAGACGATTAAGTAATTATAATCAAGATTAAATCAATCATTTTAATTCATAAGAATGAACTATCATTTAAAGTATCAATCATCAAACTGACGTTTTGTTTAAATACTCTAATTTCAAAATATTAAAACATCTAAATCCCCTTACAATAAGATCATGGATATATACAAATTTCAGAAATAATTATACTGTACATCAATTTCCTTTTGTTGTAATAGATCAGAAATTTGTAAACCAGTTAAAATTATAAGCAGAGATGAATGGTAGCTAGTAGTGGAATCCACGATATGCGTTTCGTCCTATTTCAGATTCATCAGCTGGAAGTGCCTGCATCTTAGAATTAAATGTTCACATAGAATTGACACTGAATTTTAGCTTATAAAATCATATTATTATTTATGAATATAATACATTATTTATATTCGTTATTAAATTCAAATAAAACTTACCCAAATGGGAAAAATGTTGATAATTTTGGATGAATTTCAAATGCATTTTTAAATATTAAACAACCAGTACGTATTGGATTTTGTGATAATAATGGCCATGTAGAAAATAAAACATCCAATTCTAAATCAGAAAATAATTGTCGAAATGATTTATCTTCTGGTATATTTTGTAAATTTAGATTATCATTATTTATATTTTGATTATTCAATAAATCTATAGAATTTTCTCTTGGTTTATTATTGCTTATTGAAGTTTTACTTGATTTTACGATAGTTTGTGAATTCCAAGTTAAACTTGATTTTTTTTGTTTATTACTAGTTGGACGACTTTGTTCTGAACCCATATTACTATTATTATTATTGTTATTATTACTATTAGTATTATACTAGGGGTACGTTGTTTGTTTTGTTCTCTTTTTATCAACCAGTAATATTTAATAATTCAAAAACTTTTTCCATACCATTTTTAACAAAGAAACAGTATTAGTTGTTACCAACAAGTTAGTTTGTTTTTTTTTCTTCAAAAAAGCGGGAAAGTTAAATGTCTATTGGATATTTATTTGATATAGTTGGCTGTAAAAAATAAATAAATAAATAAACCTATGATATTTTCTTTCTATTCTATTGTATTTTTGAGTTTATATATATAGGGAAATCGGCACATGTAGTGAGTAAAACAATATTCATTTTATAAGATGAGCGTAACAATAAAAATAACTAATAAATGTAAAGACAAATGAAATGTGTTAAGATCTAAAAGCTCCAATCATATGTTGTCATATTAGAATGGTATAGTTTCTACCAATGGAAATGATCTATATGATTTGATGACCTTCAAGTGGAATATTCATATAATGAAGATAGATGTTATAATTTTTTTTTGTTTGATTGTTGAATTTCGAGTGTATATAAATCAGAAGAAAATTCATGTGAGAAATCATTTTGTTTGATTAGAAATAGAAAGACGATTCACCAAGAATGCTATTTTGTTCTACATAGTAAACTATATTATTAATTTTAAGCCAACTTTTAATAGTAGCTCACAGTTTAATTCAGGATGAATGTCTTGTGCTATTTAGAACATGTTAGCTAGATATACCTCAACCTCAGTTTTTTCGTTCATGCTAAGACTCGATATCAATTTCCTTCTTTTTTAAACTTCTAATGTGTTATCTACTGAGCTGTTGAGTTCAGATAACCACTGACTTGGATCACTCGAAGTATATCCTGAGCATTAACAAAAGGAAAATACAAACTCTTACAAATAATTTATATTATCCATTGTTTCTATTTCGGTAAAGATGAAATAAAAGGGGTCTTATGAAAAATTCGATGTAAAACTGTTGATATAATAAATACAGTACGAAAGCTCAAGCTATTTGTTCAAGATTTTCATTTTCGTAAATTAGTTTAATCACAAATATTCGATTTAATGTTTATTGTTTAATCACATAAACATTGGTACAAGGAGGCAGCAAATGGATATGTGCCACGTAAATCATTTGATTTTTATGAAGACTGGGATACTGGTCGGGCGTCCAAACTGAAGTAGGTGGTTTTCTTAGGAGGTCACACCCGGAACCTTTGACCTAAATGTCTGATCCATATGGCAGTTGTGCGACGTCAGGAGATGCAGTCCCGTGGTAGCCAGTGACCAACGATTGGTTCATGCGCCATTTGTATCTTCAGGATCTTGGAACGCATGTGCACCATTGGTTTGGAATCAAGTTTTCCAACTCCCACAGGTGAATCCTCCATATCCACAAACCTGGTTAAAGCGCCGGACATTCGCTTTTCGTCCCCACAATTTCGTAAACAACATTCCCGCAACTAGGAGGCAGTGAGCAAGGCTTCTCTAGCAGCGGTTGTATACACATGGTTATGTGAGAGCATTTCGGGAGGCAGAGCTGAATCTCTCCGCTCTCGGATATACCAGGGTAATGTCTAACTTCAATTACACCAACTTTTGTAAATATTTCTTGCGAACAGCAATTATCGAAACTGACAGGTTTGATAACTTAATTCATAAATACGACTGACTACTGAAGTAGATAAATATATCATTTCTTTATGACAAATACAGTTTGTTTGATTCTTATTTCTTATCTATCTATACTATTTATTTAAGTACTTAGCGGAATATACAGGCATTTATGTTTGATTACTGAGTAACTAGTAATATAATTAATCATATAATATTAATAATATAATTAGTGTTATGTGGCTGATATTTATCCTGTGCGTGAAATAATAAAGCTGGAAAGAAAAATAAAACGATGGAAAGCCTTCATGATGAAAAATACGATGGTATTAGGCTATGAGTTTAACTTCTATCATAAATCTACACATCACAATACTGGGATGGCTAATAAAATAATATCGACATATATAATTGCGTTTTAACCAGCTTTAGGTATGCTTATAAACCAAAATAAAATACGTATTTGCTTAGCTTGGTTTTTATGACCATTGTGTTACCTGACATTATTCAACAGACAGAACCGACGTTACTGTGACATCTTAGATATAATACTACTTATAAACTGAGGTCAATTAAAGAGCCATTATTAGCTAGAAAATATTAGGCAGCCATTTCATTTTAATTTGAGGTTCTTTGACAGTATACATCCAATATCGCAAATATCATCAAAACTTGAACAGTTTGATTTAGTGGTGTGCGCGAAATGTTTACCGAATGATGTATAATTCATCTACTTACAATTTAAACTTTGATGAGTTTGTTGTGTATCAAAATCCTTTATTTAAAGAAATCAATGCATTACCATTTCATCGTTTCAACCCAAGTGACTTTAAAAGTCCTACTAATATTCAATTGGTTTTAGTTAGTGAGTGAAATCAAAATACATATTGATATCAATTAATCTATTTCTTTTAACTTTCATTATTTTGACTCAGTAAATGTTATCAGCACGTCTATATAATTTGTAAATCTTTTCAGTTGATTATTTGCCCGTTTCCGCGGTACGTTTGATCTTTACGTCACAATAATACGGTATCCGATAAAAAGTATACATATTTTTTTTATTAAATAATGATATATAACGTATATAAATAACATTACAATTTACACTAATATCAAAAATGGGTCACTTATAGAAAAAAAGAGTTCGGAAAAGTACTAATACTTCGGATAACAGCAGCTCTGTTATAACATATACACCATATCCACTAACTGCCTTTGCAACCGATAATATTAGGATTCGAATTACGCCTTACGTGCTGCTGGATAACTCACTCTTTACTAACGCGTTCCATTATCATCGATAATACAAAGAGTTAATTAGACATTGCATATTAGCGATTAAGCGTAATGAGTTTTAACATGTAGTCACTTGTGGGTCTTACATCAATGCATGGTAACATTAGGCAAGAAATAAAGGTTCTATCAAGTCCTAAACTACTATTGTCGAAAGACGTGGTTACTATAGAGCATGAGAACATTGTTGAAGCAGTACCTGCTATCGATTACATTTCCAACGAAGTTACTAGGGGAATGATCTATAGAACTAACGTATTTATCTATAAAATGTCCTAAAAAATCCCGCTCAAATCACTGAAGCATCCGATACTGAATGCAGCTAACCTTCAAGATAGTCCATATCAATGTGTTTACCTTAATAAAAAGCACCAGAGGTTCTCGTGCCCCGCCCTGCTTAGGTTCAACTCACATTTAGCAATTGAACGACTGAAGCAATCCGGATGGTTAGTCTATGCATTTATGAAGTTCAGGAATGCTGCTTTAGACAATCTTCTACTTCTGAAAAGACTAACTTAATCTCTCGACGAAAGTGCCTTCAGAATATAGACAGTAGTTGATTTGTTTACAAGACATTATCAGTTTGCCGAACTATACTACGAAAGCAGTAACTACATTGGTGTCTAGATTGGTAATAAGGAATGGCTCTTAGAACGACTTGATATGGAAAGATCATACTTTACGTATACCAACGTTTTACGTTTCATTTTGGGAAGCAGTGTGCATAAAGTCAAAAATGAAAATGTTAGTGTTTGGGAAAAAAATATCATTTTCTATTGTACATAGCGACAGACTACTAGGGCTAGATATGCTGCCGACACAAGAAATGTTTCGCAATAGCAAACTATAGGGGGTTGTTTGGACCTGTTTAAACTTGTAGTGACCTACTTTTATCAAGAGAACGCGACTGGTATAATGGAAACAATTATTATTATAACCAATTGTACCAGTGATTGTTTTACTGTACTTGTTTGTTTAACTGTACTAAAGACATACCTTCTTCCGTTGCTTGTGACCTTGCACGCACTTACGTTTGCTCAGTGATTCCGTTTATACTCCTTTGGCACGATCTCGGTATTCTATCAATAACACGAGATCGACAACAAATAAATATCGCTACAACCTCCAGTCGCCTTCTGATATCTGGTAAGCAACCTTCTTGTAATGGTGATCATAGTCAACCGCGACTGGACGCCACACTACAGACCTATCGTCCTTATTACCTTAACCTCGTTAAAACATGATAAGTAAGTACTAGACTATCTGTCTTGAGGAGTTTGTTCCTCAGTACCACTCATTACTTCAGGATTTTTGTGTTGGTTAATTGATAAACTAACATCCAATGATAGTCTAGGAGATCAAAACAACTGTCCCTTAAATATAGAAATCGAAATAACATTTAATGATAGTCTAGGAGATCAAAACAACTGTCCCTTAAATATAGGAAACGGTTAATCCATATAAGGTCATCACAAAGATGTTAGATATTTAGTACAGCGAATTACTAAATCATTTCTAAGGGAGAATAAAGTCATATTACACCCTTATTGGGATACATTTCCGTAGGGCCTGTCACTATGGGTGTAATATTAGTTTTTTTTCCACAATCTGTTTGTACATTGCTGTACGGTGAAATTCGATACAGTCGGCCAATTAGAAGTATCTGAATGAGCTCACTTGGTGCCAATCAGGAATGCTCTAGAGGACAATCGCATTTCACTGGCTAACAAATGAACTAATTCTCTGAGGGGTAAAACATACAAATACATACATAAGTGAGTATTTATGCATGGGTAGAAAATTGATTTTTTTCTTTTACTCTTGTCTTCTCCATCAGTAGTCAGTTGGGGAGGTTGACGCGTGTAGAAGTACCACAACTTGGGCACTGCTGACCATAATAAAATGCTTACATAGATTTTATTTTCCAAAGTTCATTTATTTTCAGAAAAGACGCCATGATTGTAGAGATACAGAATTTGGGCATTTCAATAACATAAGTGGTCTGTGTCAGATGATTGGGGGCTCACTCGAGTTAGTCATGAATAGCAAAAACGACAAGGTAATGTTAAAGTCACACCTTAAGGTTAGTATCTAACCTGGCTAACCCTTCATGGTATCCAGGTACTATGGCCGCTTTGATGCCCGTTTAATACAAAACGTTATCGCAAAAATGTATTGGTAAGATTAAGTACAAGGAACAGATTACACCACCAACGCATGGGCCAGACTATAATGTTCAGTTCATTACTGTGTGTTAACTATCGTTGACTTTGACGAGGATCGGTGAGCTGTTCGAAATTCGATGATCCGACTGACGGATGATTTGGCTAGAACCCACTAACATTTCA